CGTTTCCAGACTAATTAGAGAATTTTTACGTCCAGTCAAACGAACTATTTTCAACGTTTCTGGAACGTTTACAATCGTTCTATAATCGAACCAATATTCGAATTTTATGTTCGAATTCAAATTCGAATATTGTTCGAATTAAATTCGAACATAACATTCGAAATAGAAAACCACTTTCAACCACTTTCTGCCCCATATCTCCCGCACCCTTATAGCTATCGAGACGCAACCCCCATAGTGCATGAATGGAGACTTGGGGCTACCACCACATACAAACAGCATTCATGTGCGATGTGTAGTTTTTGCGGAAAAGTGAAATATAGGGACACACACGTCCATTTTTATATATATATATATAGATATATAGATGATTTAGAATGTACAAATATTTATTAAAAGTACCAATTTAACAAATATGAAATAATTACATTTATAATCATTGCTAAGTGACCAGCTATTTTCAGATCATCTCTTTAAAAGCGACATTCACCTTGACCTCGATAGCACTCTGCTATAATGGTAGCATGAACTATACATGGTTCACAAAAATTATTGCAAAATGCAAAGGATCCTTCACTCACATGTATAGGACGACCTAAGTTTTTGAAGCAGTGAAAAATTAATAAAAACCTCGTCTTATATGCAAGTAAATACGGTATTTGAGTACTTTTTTTGGTCATGGAATGCATTATCATATTTTACATTAATTTCTGTGGAAAAAATTGTTTCGCATTACGAGTAAGGTTCTGGAACGAATTATGCTCGTTAAGCAAGGTTCCGCTGTATAATCAAAAAGACTAAAGCAGATAAAGGAGTAACAAAAATCACATCTGAGAAACAAAGTTGTGCCATCCATGAAAAAGTGGAGAGATTGCTTTTAGTTTGTTATTATATGTAAACAAGTAAAACAGCAAAACTGTATTTGGGACAAGACTATGTCTTGGAGACGGAATCACTTTGATGCTCAAGGCAGGTCTTGTTCTCATTCTCCTATCTTCTTTGATATCACTGCTTTTGGGCGCGATTCTTCAAACTTCACTGGCCACGACCACAAGATCGTCCACAATGCATTTTCAATGAAATTAACCTATCTAATTTCAAAATTTCTCTCTGTTGCGTGTCGGCCCAGGTTGAATTTTTGTTGATGCGTAATGAAAAGTCCCCGTTTTTGAAAAAAATAATTGTGGCTATTGTATCGTCCGAAATTATTTTTTTATTTTGCACAAACAATATAAAGTTTAACCCGATTATAATGTCATCGAATGCAACGACAACCCTAATATAACGTCAAATTTTTATCAGTCCTACGATTTTACTATACTAGATAATGTTAAAAAAAACCCACTTGTAACGACATAAAACCATTTTAACGTCATATTTGAAGCACTCCCAAATTTACAAAATTAGATTACAAATTTTATTTAACATAGAAGAAACTACGTGTTCAGTCCTAAGGTCAGAGTTCACTTAGAATGACTGTGGGTGGTACTCTACCCTACCTGACTTCGGTGGGGTGAGGTGGCTGTTTTGCTTGTTTGTAGAAGAGGGTCACCATTTTGTATTTTATTTTGACTCGATTCTCAATCCCCTGACTACCTATGAGTCTGGATTTTTTTATGCGCAAATGATTTGGGCACCTAATACTCTGTGCCAATTAGCAACTCTTGACATGTACTCATTCATACCTCTATGCTGGTAAGAACGGGTGGCAGTACGATTTTATAAACAAGACAGTCTTGTCAATAAACATATTAAGAAATTATGTAATTATTATTATTATTATTATTTTTTATTTTATTTATTTATTTTTGGAGTTGCCAGAACAAAGTAATCAAATAACCATAAAAATCTATGGTAAGTTGGTAATCAGTTAAACAATTTGGGTATCAAACATTGACTCTGAACAGATTATGTTCGTTAACTGATAACCTACTGTAATCTATACAGATGAATCAAGATGTTTGCTGATAAATGTTACTCTGAATCAATACGTCGATAGAAAAATTGGCACCTAAAGTTGATAAAGGAAGTTCTGGAAGTGGGGCAACGGTATGGGGGTGCAATTTGGCTGATGGTTGTGTCTCATTATATGCCATAGATAGAAAAACTTTGACAGCACACAAGTATCATTGATATCCTAAATAAAACTCTAGCTTCTTAAAATATAGTAAACTAGCTGATATATCTGGTGAAGCTCTGTTATCTTAAATATCAAGCAGGTTCAAAACTACTTGTGATTTTATTAGTTGATGACTGTATACCATGTACTGTACATTGACATCACAATAGAAGCAAGTATTCAATGAATTTCATCATTTTTCTTTTGATCCTCTTTTAATAAAATAAAACTTTGCTTATTTATGCATTTTTGTGTAAACTCATTCCATTGTATTTAACAAAAATATTTAGAAAGATTAAAAATTTCTTTCAAATGTAAAAAAGTAATTCTTAGTAGAAGAAAAAGATTTAAAGTGTTATATTTTAAGAAATATCAAAATTAGATGGGGGAAAAAAATAACATTTTTTAAAGTGCTTTCAAAATATTCAATCATCATTAGTTTTGGATTCAGAAGCAATAAACTAAATAACCAGCATTCTGATGAAGAGAGACTGATTAAATGGCAATTGCACCATAGCCAATTTTAGCCAGTTGCACATTATTATTTATATCATGTGGTCTTAATAATTTATAAAATAATCCAATTATTATTTCCAAAATAAAAGTAACTGAACATGGGAAGATTTAAAGGGTGTGTATGGGCATCTTCTTTCTGAAGGTTTTTCCTGAGTTAAGCTGGATACCATGGGTATTAAAAATTTTGTAAATCATATTATTTCCTTTTTGCACCCCTTTGAGGATTTCTGGATCAACTGTTGACTGAATATAAAGTTAAATATCTTGTAGCATTTTCAGTGTCAGATTGGTCTGTAGGCAGTGATGTCACAGATTTGTTTGCTAAAATGAACTTTTATGGTCATTCAAAGAAAATTTACAGGCTTGAATTTTTCTATAAAATATAATGGAACAGGTTTGTAGGAAAGTATATAAATAAAGAAGGGATAGATAAATTTTCCAAAAAAAGATGAAAGAAAAGAAAAAAAGTTCAATGACATTGTCAATCCAAACACAAACATTCTTACAAAGGCTTTACAACTACAACTGCTACAAACAAACAGAATTGTCCTTTTATTTATAAGATTGAAAAATTGTTTTGATAGAAATACTTACTTGAGTTCCTTAATTTAATTTATTTCTATGAAATTATTTATCTTAATTTGCATGAATCTTTACTTATGCACAAATTGCACTTTCTCCAGGAACTTGACTAATGAATAAATTATGATCATATTGTATAGCTTCTAGATGACTGACTGTTATCAATATTAACATGATATAAATAGTTTATCTACAAAGAATTATTAGAGAATTAGAAATTGTAATGAAAGTTTTCATTTTCTTTTTAGATTATAAAATGGACCGTCCTCCTGGAACAGAATATTATGAAGAGGGAGCTATACAGTCAAGTAGTTTTTCTGGGGGGGATGTAAATGAACAGAGAGATTACTATAATAATCAAGATAATAGTATTAATGATTATTATAAAAATATTTCTCAACCACAAATTCATTCAGAATCTTCCTCACCATCATCTGCATCATTATCTACAAATCCCTCATCACAGAGAGATGCAGACAGACAACAAAGAGAAAGAGACAGGTATTTAAAACGCAAACAAAAAGTATTTGAAAATAAATTTTATTTATAATTATTTACTAATTTTCTTTTAGAAATCGACGAAGAGATAGAATAAGAAGTAGGGATTATAAATATGATAGAGAAAGAGATAGAAGTCATGAAAGAAGTGACAATAATTTCTATAATTATGACGAGGTGATTATTTTTAATGAAAATTTAATGTGCATAAAATTCAACAATTATCTTTATTTTAAAAACCATAAAAATACTTCATACATATATTTATTTTTAAATTTAAATGAAATGTTTTTATTTAGTACAGCATGATAGTTATAAATGTTTTACATTATTTCTAGTGGTGTGGTAAATCTACTTATAAAAAAATATTTTTTCTGTAAGTGAAATAGAATTCTTTTGTTTGATTATAAATACAGATAACCAGATGTATTCAAAATCAAAAAGTTTTAACAAATATAAAAAATTAAATTGAATTATTATTTTAAAATTTTATTATTACAAAAAACAAATCTACAGAACCTGACAATAATTAAGCATAAACACCTTCCAAACCTTTACTAACTTAAGATTTGGAGAGTGTTTAATTTATAAAAAATAATAACAACAAAATTAAACAGTGAGAGAATGAAATTGTATCTTTTATCATTAATTCTGTAGAGTATAAATAAAATTTTGGTATTTATGAAAAATAGATAAACAAAAAGAGACACTGCAAATATTTAAAATTTGAGAATAAAAATAAGTGAATCCTGAATCTGAACAAATGTTTATAATGAAATGATGACAATTTTAACAAATTTATGAAGTTTTAACCAAAATCTGTTGGCAACTGTTTGCCCATTAATATTAATTTATGAAAAAATAGTTATGATGTATTTTTATCATCAAGTTTGAGAAATAAAATATCTTAATTTGATAATTTCTTCAATAATAATTTAGTTATACAAAAAGTAATTAATATTACCAGTAAGATGTTTTTAATATGATAGCAATTTTATATATATTCTTTCTTGGCAGTTTTTGCTTTTAACTGTTACAATATAATCTTTTATTTTTATTAAATTGCTTAAATCTTGGATTTAGATTTACTATAAAATAATCTGGAATAAAATTAAATTCTGAAATTTTTTTGAATTCATATATATTTTCTGTGTATTAATATATATTACATATCAGCATTATGCTTTTATCCATATATTTTTCTATAATATGTATTTCAAAATAGCAATACTATATTAAAGTAGCAGAGTACAGTTTACAGGTAAAATTTTCTCTTGGTGATATACTTTATGTTTAAGATTCTAACAAATTTCCAAAATAAAAACTATAATAAGATGATAAAATTTTGCATTTTTTTAATTTTCTTTTGTTGTTAAATATTAAAATATAAATTAAATAAATTTTATGCAAACTACATAATTTCAAATTAAGGTTTATTAGTAATAAAAATTGTTTCGTTTTGCAGCAGTCAAGTAATTATGAAGGATATGGATATGATGAAAACTATAATGAAAACAGAGATACGTATTTTGAAGGTGAGGGGTATAATAACAATAATAATTATGATGCTGACAACAGTTATGCCAATCGCAGAGATAATTATAACAACTACTCAGAAAGATCTGATGATTATGGAGAGAGAGATGATAGAAGAAGCCGAAGCCGTGGGAGAGATAGAGATCGTGGTAGAGAAAGAGATAGAGATAGAGATCGGGATAGAGAAAGAGATAGAGATCGTGACAGAGATACCAGAGACAGAGACCGTGATCGTGACCGAGATAGAGATCGGGAACGTGATAGAGACAGAGACCGTGATCGAGATAGAGATAGAGGACGAGAAAGGGACTGGAGAGAGGAAATTCCCAATCATACAATTATGGTTAGAGGCTTAGCATCAAATGTTACTGAAGGAGATGTATGTTCTTTTCATTTCATTTTAAGATATATATTATAATAAGTAGCAAGCATTGAGAGTTAAAGAAATCAACACATACATATATGATACATAAAATTTGACCAAATTTAGATCTTAAAACTAAAGCTTATTGAAAATTATTTCAATGTAGCAGTAATTCTACATTTATATTAACTGTTAGCATGCAATTACAAATAATTTTCTTTCTTTATAAAATACTGATAGGCCTATTTGTTAACTTATTCGATGTTGAAATTTTTATTTGTTGCTTGTGATGCCATGTTGAATTTTCATCAATGTTAAGCCTAAAAAAATTTTTTTTTAAAATAATAATCGTGTTTACTGTATCGTAAAAAATTATTTTTTTATGTTTCACAAACAAAATAAATATATTGAATAATATAGAAACAAAATAAATTATATTTTAAAAGTTTGTTTTAATATAAAAATTGTGACGCA